GGCGGTCAGAGCCTCTTCGGTCACGGCCCTCAGGCGCAACACGGCGTCGCATGTCGAACGCCCCGCCCGAAAACCAAATTGGGCGTCCGACAGATCGGGGCCCACCTCGCAGAGGTGCCGGACGATGCGGGCAGAAAGAACCCTCTCAAACAATTTGCCCGCCTCGTCCAGCAGCACGATGGGCCTATAGGCCGCTACCGAATCGGCAGGCCGTCCCGGCTTCCTCAATAGGACCAGCTTCCCGCTCTTCCAGCACTCCCTGAAGCGTCCCGACGCCAAGCTAGCGTCGAACACCTCCCCGAGGCGGTCTGCCATGTGGTTGAGGGCCAGGGCCAGCACTCGGGCCGGTACCCCGTCTGGCCCAGGGGCGGTGTTCTTGGAACAGATCCATAGAACAGCCGCCCCTACCTCCGATTCCCGGACGGGCGGAACATTATCCTCCCCGTGCTCCCCGTCGTCTCCGGCCAAGGAGGCCATCGCCGGGGGAGTGTGCTCCGCTCGTTGTGGGAAAAGGCCCTCAACCACTTCTCGCAGAAAGCTGGGCTGGAGAGTCTCCGTAAGGGGGGGGGGGGCCCGACGCGCGGAGCTTTTGTCGCACCGCGCGGTAAGGGCGACCCCAGGGGTCACGATTAAGACCCTCCAGCATCTCCTGTCTTTTTTCTTCTTTGGCGCGGCTAATGGCCAGCTTCAGAGTTTTCCGCGCCTGTCGGTACTCCTCATGAAGCCGGTCCTCCTCACCGTCTCCACGGTGACGCCGCCGACTGCGCGTGTAGGACCTCCGGGCACGTGTACAGGCCGCACGGAGGTCCGCCAGCTCCTGGGACCACCAGTAGACCTCCTTCCTTGGAGGCCGAAGACCTCGAATGCGGGGCATGGCCGCATCGCATACATGCGTAATCGCATCGCGAAAGCGACCAGCCCCCACGTCGACCTCCTCGGTCGGAGCCTGAGGAGACAGCCACGAGTGAATTATGGCTGCCTCCTCTAGTAGGTCCCGGTTCAGTCTGGCAACAGCCCACCGCGGAAAGCGGGATAAACGCCGCGCCACGTGACCCCTACTGGAGTCCTGGGTCCGGGAGAGCTCAAATCGGATATACAGGTGATCCGAGAGCGTCTCAACCTCTTCCAGGACACGCCAGTTCGGCGGTTGCTTGCCACCTTTGGTGGCATCATCTCCTGGGACGTGTCGGTTTCCTCGTCCCTGGAGCGTCTTCGTTTCCGGCTGTCGCTTCGCTCCGCCTACATGGCCTCCACGCCATCCGACGAAACGGCGGATCCGGAGCGCAGCCGATCTGATGCTCTTCGGCTCCCAGAGACCAGCGTCAGGCTGACTTCTGGGAGCCCCACCGAGATAGGCGTTCCCGACGCCACCTCACCCTCAGTGGACGACCCATCCACTCCACTGTTCCTCTTCTCCCTTGAACCTTTCGTATCAGTGTCCGTTTTGCTTGCCTTTTTCTTTTGTGATTGGTTTTCCGATCGTTTTTTAATATTTTTGTTGATATTTTCCATAATAATCCCACGAGTGGGGGAGAACTAAAGGTCCACCCGGGCAGAGATCCCCCATTACCCGGGCAAGCGTAAGTTTTTAACCCAACCGAGGGGTCCGCAGGTACCTCGGCTTGGAGTGCGCTCGAGACTGAACTTCCCAAAGTAACCCTATGCCAACCCACTAGGGAATCACGTCCAGAGCATTATAGCTGAGTAGGTATATCAACATTTAATTTATTTACCTAAGTGAAAGCGTAACAGCGTTTTACTCTGACATAATTGCTCCATTGTGCATAAAGTTTAACCGAAAGGAAATGCAATGATTTGTAACTGTAAAGAAAACAGTCATTGTTATTTATGAACGCCTTCAACAATTGTCACGGCAACAAATCACAGAATAAAACAAAAAAGCTTCTACCAAACAGTAATTGTGTCGAGTCGATACAGACGTCCTTGTTCTTAATTATGAAAAAGTTTAGTCTTGTTGCGGTCCCGAGTCACAAATGTTACCAGACGCGACGAGTCCTTTACAAGGCTAAAGACAATTAGGACATATCATGCAGGCGCAATACTAAATTATATTTTTATGTCAAGCGTTGCATTATAACACATACTCGTATAACAGTAGAGAATTGTTTAACAAACCATTGTTTAACTAATATGTTATAGGATATTAGAATAGTTAATATGTGTCGGATAATACCAGAGCCTTGTAATTTATTTAACAATTGACTCGACAAGTGCTCACGTTTGATGTACCATGTCGTGTTGTGAAATCTAAAGTCTATGATAAAGTCGTTTTAACTTACATTTTATTATAAATCCAGTTTAAATATGTCCAAGACATTAACACTGACTGGCATCATCATCATCGTCACATCAACAGCCTTTACTAGTCCACTGCTGGACATAGGCCTCTCCGTAAAAAGGAGGTTTCGGCATTACGCGGATCCTAGAAGGCAGGATGCAGAACATTTATTTTCCAAGCTTTTATTGGAATGGACATATTCATGAGTAGGTTTTTTTTGCGACATACCGTCAAGTGTGCCGACGATTTATGTTTTTAGTACTTACCTATAGGCAATTTCGGGTACAGGTTTTATTTTTTAATAATTTCATTATTTTTTGCTGTTCTTCGTTAAATGATGATTGATATAAGCAATGAAAGACATTCCAGATTTCACTGGCGGTTACGTGCATAAAGCAATGCCCAATTATGGTCAGATTTAATTTTGAGGTTCTGACGCAATCCTCAAAACGTATCTGTCTGAATGTTTATGCGCAACTGAAATCCTTTGACAATAAGTAAGTATTGTGTGTCTTAACAGTAATTACTGTTAAAACACACAGTACTTACATCATCATGGTACTTACCATCGTCTAATGATCTTAAATCTAAACATTTCATATAATTTCGATTTATTTCAAAGATTAATAATTTATTCACTTTTAATGACATACTTTATTTTTATTAAAATTAGCCATCAGATAATAGTCAAATAACTAGAACAGAAATTAAAGAGAGAGAGAGAGAGAGAGAGAGAGAGAGAGAAAGAGAAGCATAAAATTTATGAAATCTGCTTAAGTAGAGGACTAACCAGATAAATTTCTTTCAACCGAGATAAAAAACGAAAGTAACACAGAAATTGAAAATATTTTGTTTCTGTTTCACAGTTTTTACATAAGTAAAAGATTTCGGTTGCATTTAAAATAGATAACAAACAAGCAATAATGACATGTGTCTTTTAGTTTCAGAATTAATTTAATGTTGTATATTTACAAAGTTTTTAAGGTCAGGTATTTTAAATGGATTTTTTTTCCGAATACCTTAACCAGAATTAGTACATAAAGTAGAGGTTTTTAGTATTTTATCACCACAATGCGTATTGTATGAAACGTTAAGTGTGTAGTAAAACTGTTGTGAGACATCACTGGTAGTATTGTCTGCATGGGTTAAGACATGACATGGGCATTCTACTATACATTTATTCGTACACTAACAACTGTAAATGTACGAATAGCACCCGTATTTTTTTGCTATCTTCGGTAAAACGCGCTTGTGTTTGAAATAATATAGAAATGGCAGAAACCAATAAAACTATTAATAATAAATGGCTTTAACAGTTATGCCCCCCCCCCCCCTCCCACGGAGAAGAAATAAGAAAAGCAATGATAAGACAGTCAAGATATCGCTCAATAGACAAATCGCGCTATAAATTTGATGAAAAGATAAATGTTTGACAAAATTATGGCTAAACGACTCTATTAAGTAATAATATTTTTTATGAGATCTACTTTACAAACATTATTTGAAGAATATTCAATATCTAATTAAACATATGTTACAAACAAAGATTACATAAATAGCGTTCTCAAACTAACTTGTTATTGGTAAGTTCCAATCATTCGGAGGCTAAAAATAAAGTCTTGAAAGTGAAATTTGTGAATACCATAACGACGTTAAAACTGGACGCTCACGATTGGAAACCTACACCAAATATAGTATTGATAAAATATACGTGACATAGGAGTACAGAGGGAGTTGGTGTTGAAGAGTTCAGTTATTCCTGAAGTGAAATTATGCAACCTCTTGTATTATTAAATACGAAAAACATGAAATAGTTTTAATATTCAAATTTTCATCATAATTTAGTTGTTTGTATTAGTCATTCTTAAAATTGAGACTGAAATTGAACTAACAAAATATTTGGATTTTTTTATAACCGGCTTAAAATGAGCAATGACCTTCTAGTGAAATGACTATTGAGTCACAACAAAAGGTTAACAACCTCTATTTACAGAACTACGATTACAATATATACAGTGTAGCTAGATAATTCCTCATATTTCTTAACGAGGTTACGTATAACACTGACGCTACGTATTAAACGAATCGTAGTTTCGTTAACGAGAGCTAGAAATACAAAAAAATAGTAAACTGAAAGCCCAACACATTCTTGTAAATGTAGTAATTACCGTAAAACTAATTATTACTTAAGCGTTTCAGCCGTTACATATCTCTCGCAGTAGGAACAATGTTGTCCGGAGCGTAACTCAAGGTACAAGATAAATTGAGCTACATATTTATTAAAAGTGGTGTCGTCGACAGTGGGACTTGTGTTATCGTATCGAGCGAGATGCGAGCGACTCGTATGCTCCGGCGCACTCTCATATCGTGTGTAAATTTACAGCCTGACATTTACGGCTCAGGTTTTTGGAAACGACAAATGCATACTGTAGATTGAACGTATAGTCACCATCAAGTGTCGGTAAAGTACAGTGCAGTGTGTAATATAAGTTGTGAGCTCCGGACTTTTAGTTACCCTTACTTTTCTCAAATAAAATACAATATGATTACATACAGTGTCAACGATTTGACCAGATCTAACGTCCAACTGACAAGGCTCTTAAGTAACACTACATGGAAAGAAAAATCCAAAAAAGTATTGAAAAACATAAAATATTTTTTCCGGGAAACTACGGTTGAGCCTTGTTTGTTTACTTACATGATGTGCACCGCTATTTCGTCATTAGCTGTCCAGAATATGCATTTGGAGAAAGCTTGTAGAGTCAATTTAGAATATGGAGATGATGTTTGTGATCGTATTGCACGAAGAAATACTACTGGCCTGTTCAAGCAAGAAAAGGAAGTGCAATCGCTGGTCGCTCAAGTAGTCGCTTGGAAGTTCCCTCTTCAAACTGCAATACCCGCCGTGATGGTACTTTTTGTTGGCGCTTGGAGTGACAAGTATAAAAAAAGAAAAATATGTATAGTATTCCCTTTCATTGGAGAAATTTTTTGCAACATTGGTTTATTAGTTGCTACCTATTTCTTCAAGGAGTTGTCTTTGACTGCGACTGCTTTGATTGAGGCTTTGCCGGCGGCGTGTACTGGTAGCTATATAATTATATTCATGGGCATGTATAGCTTCATGGCCGATAGGACATCAATAGAAAATAGGACATTCCGCCTTGGACTTGTGACGATATGTGTTACAGCAGGTACTCCAACTGGAACAGCATTGAGTGGAATATTGTTACGTGCTATCGGATACTATGGAGTATTTTCTTTATTGTTAGGACTACACATACTTTCATTTTTGTATGGTGTGTTAAGACTTGAGGATGTTATTCTTGAAAAAACGAGTTCTAGTGCTGAAAAAGAGGGGACTGGATATCGTAAAGTATTTAGAGATGTGGTTCAGCTTGTGGGTAATACTTTACTGGTTATTATAAGACCAAGGGCTTTAGGGGGCAGGACGCAAGTATTTTGTGTGATACTGTTATACCTGCTTATGGTTGGGCCACTTTACGGTGAGTAATTTTTATTTCTTGTAAATATTAGTGTTACTATTTAGAGTTACTTTAATATCTTGTATTTTCCCAAATGTCATCAGAGACTTTTAACTTTGCTTGCAGTAATGCCGATTTAGTCAATAATATTTGCTTGGGAGCCTCGGTGCTACTTGACACTCTGTTCAGCTTTTACGAGTATGTCGTTATTAAGTAATAAATATCCATCCTCATAAAGTTTTGCGTTTTATATATATATAAATAGTAGTAATCTAATATTGATATGATATATAATTCATGTCATTAATTCATTCACCACACTTCAACTACCATATATTAAGGTACTTTAATAAAAAGTGAACGTGCAATTTAGGCAATGTTGAATAAACACTAGTAGTCAAACTCAAAATATCTTTATTTCATAAAAAAAAAAATTGTTTGAAATCGTCTTTTATGCAGACAACAATAACAACAATCTCGGTTTTTGTGAAATATTGGTCTTCTATACCATTTGCAGGAATGTGTTCCAAAGTGCAGCTTAACATCGTAAACATTTTTTTTTAGTAATGTATAAAGTTAGTTAGTTAGTTAGTTAGTAAAAATAAAGTTTATGAACAGTAGAAGAGGTGGATGCATTTATTAGGTATACATGTGTACACACTTAAGCAAAGGCTTAAATATATCAAGGCGAATATTTGTATTCTTAAAATATTTAAACTCAAATCTATACAAAAAATCTAACGAAGATTAAAGCGTACTTTATCTCTAAATTTGATCAAGGTCACATTTGCGCCACTACGTATATTAGTGTTTACATGTTTATATTTGTTATAATCAAGTATGAACTGAAAGTAAAAACCAGTTTATTTCTAAAACATGAGATTTTACCTGAAAACAATTCGCGTTCTCTGTGAATATTTTCAAACAATGACAGCATGAGAAAATGGCATATCTGATGACGACAAATCTGAGCCATCTTTGACCTCACTACCTACCTAGAACAACACAAGTAACAGCTTACAATCCACACAGTCCATGTGCTTGTTTGCTACTTATTTAATCGCCAAGCACCGTTTACATCTACTACCCTTATATCTTATTATATGTACAGCTAAATATAGCATAAAACTGTTCTTATTACAGTAAACATAATATGTATGCATTCGGTCCGAACATTGTATGAAGTAAGTGGATAACTACATCGACGATTTATATATTTATTTAATTATTTTTGCACAAACAACAATTCATTGAAAATGGCGGACTTAATGCCACAAGCATTTTCTCCCAGTCTACCTTTGGGCTCTGCCTTTGGGGAAATGTCTGAGTAGGTATCCTAGAAATTAAGTTTTAAATGTAACGAGATAATAATAATTAAGGATATGGACAGAACCAGTCTGACGGATAAACACACATACATACTGAGATACACATACATACTTGCTGAGGTACATACATACATATACGAGTATATACATATAATACACTATATAAAACTTTAAGGATGTGATGAATTTGCTTGAGTGTCGAGAATTCAAGCTCGGACTTTCGTCTTAAATGAGAGGCTTTTAAAGAGAATTACGTCATTATTATTCTACAATGCTACAAATTTTAACAAAACAACCTTAAACTACTTACTTAACCTTCCAATTAATTTCCTTTTATTGAAATAAGTGGTAATTTATTTACGTACAATTAAGAATGTACGACGTTTGAATCGTCACTTTCGAAAATTAAATAGAGCTCCATTAGATATCGCTCCTATAATTTAAACCATATTGCAAATCGTTCAAATTTCAACGAGCCGCAGGTGAGGCACTCGGAGTCCTTGACTTCATTATTTTCCTGTTAACTTACTTTCAAACTTTGTAAGCTATTCTAGGTAGCTATTATGGGATTTTAAGTTTACTTTGTGTTAAAAATGCGCTTAATGTTATGTAAAGTATAAAATGTACTTTGTTTAACCTTGTAGATTGTGAGCGATGTGGTCGCGAATACACTATTTCATTTAGGAGTGAGTGTTTATAAAAATAGCGCTTAATTGATCAAGTGAATAGGTAAATTGTATTAATAATATTCACTCGATAAATTAGTAATTAAAGTATCTATCGCTTATAATGTTCATCTCAAAAATGTATGAAGAAATAACAACCCATACAAATTAATTCGATAAGATTTCTATCTTGTATGTTAAATATTACTTCTTTCTTATTTTCATTTTTTATCCAACTGATTACAATTGAGCAAAAATACATAAAAAATTATATTGGCCATGTTGACATACATTTACGAACATCAACTCAGTCCTTAAGATCACGAACTCACGGTTGAAACTTATTAATACTTTGTATTGATTTAAGAAACGTAAAAAATACAGAAACCATACTTTCACATGCTATAAAAGGTAAAGAGGTTGAATAACACTCTGTAGGCATAAATAAGATTTCTAAAATGTAAAATTAATATGTACATAGGTATATTGTATAATCGTTTTGTAACATTGAAAATATTGAGGTGTGTTACCTATTTATTATTCAATCATTATTATCAAATAACGAGTTATTCAAATAAGTGTTATCTTTATCTTCTCGAGTCTATCATGTTGACTTTTTTGTTACTTTCTTGCCACCACTGAAGCGAATGCGCTGTGGTCATCACGAAATGATTTATTTTATCTTTATGCACAAATGTGCCAAAGGTGGACTTTAAGCCGTAGGCATTTTCTACCAGTCGACCTTAGGGCGATGCAGGGCAAATGGTAGATTCACAGAGATTAAAAATGTTTTTTTTTAAATATAGCATAACATCAAATATAGAATAGCAGATACCCAAAGTACTTATAAAAATTCCATTAGAATATTTTTTTTTAATAAATACAAATACAATAGGTAATACTGTTATTAATACGCATAATACGTAAGTATTAATATAACTATACATACATAAATGCACATAATATTAATTCTAGAAGGAGGAAGTATAAAATTGAGGTGGATTGATAATGTATTTAAGTAATGTTGCAACGTAATGATTGTACCTAAAAATCTAAAACTCTGATGCCGACATTTGTTATTGTCTTTCAAAGGGCGGTTTATTTGGTGGCACTGTATAGGGCGCACCATTGAGACGAGGCAAGCGAGGCAAATGAACAACTTAACTACTTTTTCTACTACTTTAACTACTCTATCTTGGGTTTGGATTATACCAAAAAACGAAATTCTGGGGATATGATACCAACAATAAACTTATTACACATCACAGAAAGGAGATTTGGTTTAACATGTTCATGGCTTCGTTTGACTAAAAATGGTTGCTGTCCTAATAGGTATGAAAATCTAATAAATAAACTAACTCACATTCGCTTTTCTATTAAGGCTTCACTCGCATCGAGGTTTATTGTTTAGTGTTAGTTAGTTGTAGGTTGATGTTTAAAAAAATATTCTGGTAAATAATGCCTATTTCTTCTTTTCTGGATTCAGTACCCCTAAAAAGACGTATGCAACCTTTTACGAAAATCGGTTAAACGATGAAGGTGTAAAGACGTAAAAAACATAAACTCGCAATCGCATGTATTGGTCAGAATAGTTAAATTATAATATGTATAAAACAATTGCATTGAGCACTTACAATTAACAGTTCGCTAGACTGACGTCCAGCACATGTATAAATGAAGCTCCAAATCACTGTTGGTCGATGACTTGTCTATTAAAAGTTTCACCATTACAAGAAATTTATGACGCAAAGGTATCCATCAGCTTGTACAGCAGATTTCTCGGATACAGCAATAAGTATTTTTTGACGGCACGGATGGCGTAGTGGTTTAAGCGGTTGCCACGGCTCTTACTACTACCCTGTGTTGTGGGTTGGATCCCCACATGGGACGACACTTTGTGTGATCTACGAATTGTTGTTCTGAGTCTGGGTGTTCTTTGCTGTTCTTTCGTTCGCGTGGAGTTTAAAAAACCCCTGCCTTAGGGCCGCCGGGTATGGGCAGAGCGTGCACCGCACACGCGCGGTATTTTCAAGGGGGCGGCAAAACCATTTCATAATTTTCATTTATTTTGCTAATGTATTTTTATATAATCATAGTAACATCTATTGATTGGTGTACGAAAATAAATGAAAATGTTTATAGGCTTCGAATTACTTTATTAAATATTATATTTATAATTTGAATTACTGAAGATGCGGGCAAGGCGTTCCCAAATATCCTATACCGGGTGAAAGTTTTACGTTCGAGATATAATGGGGTAATCTAATTCTGGCATGCTGTTATTGCGACGGTAAGACGCGTTATGGAGGATTAGCTCAATAGGCAATACGGGACCCTCTGATATTGGCTGTCGCAAAGGATGCTTTGGAGGTGACCAGTGTCTTATCCCATGAGAGCCAAAGCTCGGGTGCCGCCACTATGATGGCTAGAGCGTGGTCATAACACTTTACACGCTGCCAGAATGTCCGGCGTGTATGAAGCAGAGGCATGACCTAGTGACTGGTTGCGACCATGGTACGGAGAGACTAACTCCTCCTGCTGGGCGAAGTGAGACCGGGAGGGACTTAGAACCTTCTCTCGGCTCACCAGGCTTGGGAACGGACCAAGAGGCTTAAGTTCTGGTGGTCGTCGCTAAATGATCTCCGTCCTTCATTAGCGCCGGGCCTGGGGGTGACGGCGACGCGCTCCGGTGCTCCTAAGGGGTAGGGATTGGTAACCGTGGTCATTACAAATCAAGAGACCATCTAAGCCGTGAATGACTCGGGGCCCGTCAGGGTATCAGGGATTACCTATCTAGGTTACACTGGGTGGACCGGCTACTGACCGAGATGGCTCGCCGTGCGGTGTTAGGGCCGGCGCGGCGGTGACTAACGTCGCAGCAAGGCACGACAAGGCAGGGCAGTCGAAGGATACTTTGGTATGAAGCAGCATGCCAAACCATACCGCTTAACGTCGTCTCATCTCGCAGAAGACCCAGCCACTCAATAGGGCTCCTCTACACTCAATACTAACGTCGGTACCGTCGTAC